CCCCCCCATCCCCTCTCAGGGTCTTGGCCTGAGCTCAGGGCTGCACCCATCCCCTGGGAGAGTGTGATTCATCTCCCTGCCCGCCCCCCACGACCCCAGGTCTGTCGGGGCACGTGCCACCAGGAAGGCAGAGGACACCTGTCCCATCAGAGTGGCGGCTCCTAGGCTGTGAGGGGGGTCGCCCAAAGGGCCCCGTGGATCTGCACTCGAGGTGCCTGCACAGCGTAGTTTCTCAGACAGTGTAGACGCCACAGGTGTGGTCCAAAGTGTGGCCAAGAACGGACCCGTGGTGGGGACAAGGGGACGGCGAAGACTCGGGCCCTTGGATCCGGGCTGAGTCGCTCCCTCACGCTGTCCTTGAGCCCAGAGAGTGACCAGAAGGTAACGAGCAAACGCCAGGATTTGGCAAAATACAAACCCAGGAGCTTCGGGGCCCAGATGGCGAGGGCCAGGCAGAGGCTGTGCGAGGGGCCTGGTGGCTTAGGACTTATTCTTACCCATCTGGAGGCCGCAGCCCAAGAGGAAGGTGCTGGCGGGCCAGTCCTGTGGGTGCTCAGAGGGAGGACCCTCAACGCCCCCTCCAGCTGCCGGTGGCTCACAGCCATTCCTGGGTGAGCTGTGCCCCGTCTCTGCTGCTCCCCGCATCTGTCTCCCCCAGAGCACCACACCCCGACCCAGGCTGACCTCCACTCGACTAAAACTGGGGCGGGGGGGGACACCATTCAGCCCAATCCAGCGGCCAAGAGGAGGAGCGGAAGAGGGAGACAGCAGACAGGGGCCAGGGAGCAGGTGAGGAGAGGGGAGAGGGGCCCGGATGGGGGTCCGCAGTCCGGCTGAGGTCCAGACGCACTTGCGGGGTGTGGGGGCAGCACGGCGCTCACTGGCCTGGGTCCCGGCTCCATGTGGCACGGACACCCGTGTTCACTCCTCTCCAGGGAGCACCTACCACGGAGCAGACCCAGCGGTGAGTCCCGGCCCTGACCCTGACCCTGCGCCGGCCAGGGTCCCGCCCTGCCGGCTCACCCGCTACACAGGCACTGGCCCTGGCACCGTGTCACCCTTCCGTGGCCCCACTCTTAGCCAGTCTCTAACGGTGGGGACTGGGGTCGGGCCGTAGTCCACAATGCAGCCGGCAAGGGAGGCTGACTGGGGAGCGGGGCGTCCCAGCGCCCCCCAGGCCCCTGCCTTCCTTAGAGCCCATCCCCCTCCCTGCAGGGGCCTCTCCACCCAAGGACGTGCACTCTGGACACGGCTCTGCTGCAAGGGGTGCTGGGAAACAGGGCTGGGTGCGGCCTGGGCTGAGGCCGGTGGAAGCTATGGGGGTCTGGCGGCAGGGGTGGGGCAAGGCTGGTGGGGGAGTCCTTAGAAAGAGAAGTGGCCGATCCCAGAGGTGTGATAGGGAAGATACAACACGTGGCAAAGGCCACCAGGACTGAGGACTGAGAGCCAGCAGAGCCCATTTAACCGCAAACATCAGGCTCTGTCCTCGGTGGCCCCACCCCCTGCCCTGCGAGGCCCCCGCTGGCAAAGAG